GAAAATACCAATGTGATAACAATAAGAACATATGGTACTTTAGAGAAGTTTTTATTTGTTTTTTAACTTTTTTTTAATAGAGACTAATATCTAACATGCCACTCTGTTTGTACAGTTCTTTTTCATTCTGTGAACTTACTAACAGGGAAGGAAACTGTTCCCTCCTTGTGATTTTCCACTTAGATAGCAAGGATCAAATATTCCAAAATCTACATTACTAATGTCAATGAACTGTTTTTGCTCTCAGGAAAAGAAAGCTGAAGGCCAACCAGTGTGTTTCAGCACTAAGTCAGACAGACCCATGATTGCTCACCAAAGGTGTAGTCCATATTACTAAATTTGAGTATTCCTTCTAAATTTGATTTCTGAAACTTTTTTTCCCTAACAGTTTCTATCTTAATCTGCCACTAAGAGCAGAGGCTGGCTATAGGGCCTTAAAAATTGTAGACTGATTTCCTTCTAGAGAGATGGCTTGAAGGGACAATACTTTATTTGAAAGTTTTGGACCACAATGGGCGTTAAAAACAACTTGCTCCCATATATTTCATGCTTTGGCCAGTAAATGATGGTCTAAAAACATTGCCATTTGGATAGCAGATGATGACTATGATAAGGATTACATAAATTTAATACAATTTATAAAACTTCTCAGAAATTTCAGCTGCTACAAAATCTTACACATTCTTTAAAATACTATGGCTCTTTGAAATACTATGTGCCATCATGCACAGGGAAGCATAGCATATACCTAGGAACATAAAAACTTACCATTATGTAAAAATATTCAAACACAGACATTAATCTTTAGACTGCATGAGTCAGAAACATTCATGAGGTTAAAAATATCAAATAGCATTTCTGCAGAAAGGAATTCGTTTAGTTTTAGACAAACTACAAGATCATTTAATATTGTAAAAATGTACATTGAGTTTGAGGTAAATTAAGATGTTTTAATATATTTTGATTGTTTTTATGTTTTAAAACAGTCTTAACTGTTTGTGCTGGGTCAAACAGTGCATTGGGCAAGCCACAGTTCAGCAATCCAAAAAAAATTAAAAAGGAATGAATGCCTCCTAATTTTTTATATTCTGAATTGCCCTGCATTTTACCCTAGCATTAGAATGTTCAATTTCTCTATACTATTCTGTAAACTGCACTTTCTGCTTCACTGATCTACTAATCCAGGTAGATAGAATCAAGATAATGTCACTATAAACACACACACACACACACACACACACACACACACACACACACACACGCACACACACACACAGAAAAATCCATCAGTAGAAAATGTAATAGTGAAACTGAGTAACCTATGTGGCAATGAAACAAATATGAATTACACAATTGCTAACAATGGTCATGGTTGATATGTATTTCTCTTTGCAGGTTCACACAAGTCCATTATCTATTTTGTGGATCTGCCAAGGTTTCAAGATTTTGTGGAGGTTTTTAAATCTATTTTTCTCCTTGCCACAACAGCAGACTAATCTTGCAAGGTGATTGCAACACCCACTGACTTCAGTGGGAGCTGACGGAATTTATCAGCTTGCCGAAACTGCTCTGCACCTCAAAGGATTAGGCCATCTGTTTGCAAAACCTGGGCATGGATTATTGGATTATTTATGGACTTTTGTTCTCAAATGCATGCAATGCAGAAATAGTTACCATAGGGACCACCACATTTTGTATGATTCCAGTGCACATGATGCAGATACCAGAGCATGACAAATATATTGTTCACATACACACAATTTGCAGCACATTCATCCCTTTTCACGTATAATGATGACCTCTGGTGGCTAAGGTAGCTACAGCAACTGTACACATTTCTCACAGTAGATATGGCTTCAGTTAGTAAGCTAGGAATTATCTGATTTAGAAAACCCCAAAACACTTTTACTTCAAATGGAGATTCTGAATCAAACACTTGCAGGATTTTTGTTTTGTTTTTGGTTAGATCTGTCAGAATGATGGAGGCTTAAAAGATTTAGGGCCCAATTTTGCATTTTTACTCACTCAAGTAAGCCTTACACTCATACAGGTCAGATGTCATAGATCATATGGGTGGAAAACTAGAATGATTTTTCTTAGGGACACTTCTGGCCCAGACACCCACCCAGAGGTTTTCTCTTCCCCTTTAAAGGTACCCACATCAGAAGCTGGGACCAGGAGCCAAAACACCAATGCAACTCCAGCCCAGCCACTTCCTCAGAACAGCTTTTGGGGATGGAGGTACTTAGAACGGGAATATGCCCAGCTCTACCTGTAAGGCTTTCCACTACTTTCAAAGGGCCTTATTTCCTCAATCAGTTTGGGATTTGAAATGTCATCTTGGCCCAACCAAAATCAGTGCTAAAACAATGGTGTGCAATCTTGTCCAAGGGGAGAACAGCTCCACAAATGTTCCCCACAGAATGCCTGAAAGTGTGTATGTATTGTGCATGTATGAGCACAAGTGAGGAAAGGTTAGAGATAAAAATGTCCTCATCCTTCCTGTTTCTATCTTTCTCTAAGGGTGTGTCTAGACTACAGGGTTTTGTCGACAAAGCAGCTTGGTTTGTCGACAGAACTGAATGTAGTCTAGACGCTCTTTGTGACAGAAGCTTTGTCGACAGTATCTGTCAACAAAACTTCTGTCGACAAAACCCTGTAGTCTAGACGTACCCTAACATTATGTTTCTGTTGCAAGTGAGAGTCTGACCCCACTCAAGTTTTTAGTGCTGGGTCCGTAAGATTATAGAAGGAAATACTGGGATATAAAATAATCTTAAAAACTATTCCATTTAGGTGCTTAAGGGGTTCCTTCCTGCAGCCATAAGGTTTTTCAATTACTATAGTTGGAGCTGAAGTGCAGACTCTATTTGAAGTTCAGACATTAGGTTATACTAGTGCTTTCGCACCAGCCTTGACCACAAATATCCTTAAGAACTCCCCGCCCCCTAAATTATACAAATTAAATGGACACACACCTTAGTCAATTTATTGCATACAAACTGGAAATTAGGCATAAAAGCAAAAATGTATCTCCAGACAACCATTTACATCTATAAATTAAACAAAATGGTATTCTAAAGGCATATAAATCATATTTAAGTGACAGTACTGTCCTTACTAGTCAATTGCAACACACACTGGTGGGCAAGTTCACATATCTGGTCAAAAATGTTCATTTGGAAAAAAGAGACTTTTCTCAAAAAGGAAATATCCACAGGAAATGCCTAGTTTTGAAGAAACTGGTTTATTTGTAAAACAAAAAAATTGCAAGATCCAGCTACTCAAACTTGACAAGTTTCAGTTAGTCAGACTGAAGTTTTCAGTAAAACCAAATATGTTGCGAACTGGCTAAAAGATTTTGGCTTTAGGTTGCTGAACCCTTTTTAAAAAACACGTTTCTGTTCCCAAAACCTGGAAGAAAAAGTTCTGCAGCAAAAACCTGAATACCTTTGTAGAAAAAATGGACAGCACAGTGATTTCCTCCCCGTTTGTCAACGTTTTTCGGGGGGGGGGGAGGGAATTACATCCCAGCCATCTCTGTTGCCTACAATTCTTTAACACAAGTACATAGCAGAGTTCAAACTCCAGGCGGCATGCCCTGGAATGTTGACAAGCCCTGACTTCACCTGCAAATACTTTAAACAACTATTATAAAACACAATCCAGTTTCACAGCTTATCCGGTTCTTTGACAAACAGCACTTCTCCTGTAGCTGGGGACACAGTCCAACAGCTGGATCCTGAACCTAAACTCTTTAACACAAGTACATAGCAGAGTTCAAACTCCAGGCGGCATGCCCTGGAATGTTGACAAGCCCTGACTTCACCTGCAAATACTTTAAACAACTATTATAAAACACAATCCAGTTTCACAGCTTATCCGGTTCTTTGACAAACAGCACTTCTCCTGTAGCTGGGGACACAGTCCAACAGCTGGATCCTGAACCTAAACAGACAAAACTAGAACGTGGACAAGCAACAAGACGGATCAGATCAAAACATAGTGACTGCACAGAGATATTTTTCATTGGGTGCCTTGAGTGCTGCAGCTAACCGGAAGAGATTGTAAACCAATCGGAGAACGCTTTTATTTGACCAATCAAAAACTGTCTTGCACTGCAGTCATGGAAACACAAGGCTTGGTAGCCTTCTCTTTTACCTGTTACCTGCGCGATCCTCCGCAGCAGGTTCTGCTATAGGCTGGAGAGGAGTTTAGCTTCACTGCAAGAATTAGAGGCTGCTGCGTTTGCCCGCGTTAGTGGCTGCTCGCTGGAAGTTCCCTGCTCATGTAATGCATTCACTCACTCAGGAAATCAGAGGCTTTTCCAGGAATAATCTGAGGAAGCAATGTACAAGGGTAACAACTTTAACTGGGAAGAGACTTATAGAGACATGGCAAGATGCCCGAGTGCACGTGGTGGAAGAAGCAGATCCAAGTGATGGGTTCGGTTGCGGTTATGTGCAGGACCTTAGCTTGGATCTGCAAGTTGGCGTTATTAAGCCCTGGTTGCTGCTAGGTGAGTGTGCATGTGAATTTCAATGTGAATCCCTAACGCCTGCTTCTGCAAGGTCCTGAGATCTAACCGGGCACCCTGAGCTCTGAAGTGTCGTGGGTTCTCACGTAAGCTCATGACACTATCTAGTCCCTAAGGTGCTGCAGGACCATTCGTTTTTAAAATTTCATTCACAATATACAACATATTTTTATTGCATTATTAAAACAATGTGTTGTCCCCAGGGAAAGGCAAAAGCTAACTTCTTTTAAAATTAAGAAGGGTTTTTGCTTTGTGCATATTTTGGAAGCTCTAGGCAAATAATGTGATAGAGTCCTTTCTTTTTTACAGGATCACAAGATGCTGCTCAGGATCGGGAGACACTGAAAAAATATGGGGTAACTCAGATCAAGGACTATGTACTATCTCATATTTAGCATTTGCTACTGAATGTTTTTTAATCACTAGATCAGTGCTTTTTTTGTAAAAAAAAAAAAATAGTGCTGATACAAGGGTTGCCAGATGGTTTTGTCCCCCCCTTTTCCTCAAAAGCCTTGGAGGTTGGGGCCGAAATGCAGTCACATGTCCTGAGTGGGCTTCTGTCCAGCGCAGTGTGAGTGCTCCCAGGGCCGGCTGGGGGCTGTGCCTGAGGAAAGCGGCAAATGATCCCCAAAAAAGGTGACAGTACGCTGTACTGGTGCTCACTGTCACAAGAAAAGCACTGCACTAGATAATGTTATTTTACTGATTTTCCCTTTAAAAAAGGAGCTATGTTTCATTTGTAGTTTAATAAGGTTGCTTCTTGAAAGTGTGCGTGGAACATATACAAGATGTGATGAGGGTGTCCATAGGTTTCACAAGAAACATGGAATATCTGTATTTCAAGATCAGCTGTAGTTTAAAGCTTGCTTTCTTATAGGACAGATAATATGCGTATTAAATTGTGTTCTTATTGCACCTCAGGACCCCCTGCAGCCTCTTTGCCGCAGCCAGCGCCCCTCCCCCCTCGCTGCTGCCTCTGATAGGCTTTAAGATGAAGGCGATAAGTCTGCTCCCCCCAGCATCAGCTCCTGCTCTCCCCTACTTGCTGCCTCTGTAACAGAGACAGGAAGGGGGAGAAATACAAATAGTCAAGAAGTCGAGTCAGCTAACTACTAAGTTTAGGCTTATCGGTTAGTCAACTACTTGCTGACATTCCTATCCTCAACTGAGATGTTTTCTCCTATTTACAGTCATGTAAGATGCCATGGCTCCTTTCTACAAGGTGGCAGTTTTGCCAAAATCATTTTGGTTAATCAGATTTTATCAGTCTAAAATTTACCTTAGTAATTTATTGGATATGGAATTCTTCATAATCTTTCATTATCTGTTACAGTGTGGCTATGCATTTTTAAATAGTTTAGAAGTGGCTACGCTTCAGAGTAGGGATGTAAAGGAGTAGTTGACTAGCGATAAGCATAGGCTTATCGGTTAGTTGAGTCGACTACTTGCATTCCACCTCCCTTGATGCCTCTGTATCAGAGTCAGCAAGCGGGGAGGGAAGAGGAGCCAGGGCTGGCGGGAGCTGGCTTAAAAGCTGGTTTTCCCCCAACACCATCTCTGTGGTGCCGCCTGCCCCTTCCACTGCTGCCGCCTCTATTAGAGGCAGCAGTTTGGGGGCGGGGTAAGGGGAGGCTGCTGCTGCCTCTGCTGAGCTGGAATCCCCCACAGACAGGGACTGCTGCCAGAGAGCCTGTTTTTGTGGCTAGCCTGTGCTGCTGCAGACTGGGGCTGTTTTGCAGCAGCAGCCCTGACCACAGGAGTGTGTGTGTGTTTCCCCAGCAGGGAGCTGGGACCTCCCCCATGAACGGAGGCCACTGGACCCCAGTGCGAGCCAGGACTGAGCAATCCCAGCCCAGTCCTGGCTTGCGTTGGTTCTGGGAGCTACTTCAGGTAGGAAGCCTGGCTTCTACATTTAAACTGCAGAGCCGCAGCGGGGGTGGCCCCTGGACCCAGTGCGAGCTGCGACTGAGGCTTTCTCCCTTATCGACTAATCATGTAGTTGACAGAAATTCTATCAACCACATGATTAGCTAATTACTTGCTTGCTAACTTCTTTACTTCAGAGCTAGGGGAGGAGATTCCTATAAGCAGTTAGCAAAGGATTTTTGGTGCCTTAATGACCTAAGGTAGCCTAAGGTGGATACTTTTTCTGCTCAAAGATTATTTTTCAGAAGCTATTTGCTTGAAACATTATCACAGCCCTAATGCTTACTCCTTCTTTTGTTAAGATGGACTGACGAAAACTGAAATGCCGCTTTATACATCTTAACATTTGATAAAATCTTAAGTGCATTTCAAAAGATAGTCAAGTCAGAACACATTGTCTGAATACAATTGAATGCTACTGTTTGATGTTCCAGTATATATCTGCTGAATGGATAATGCTTTCTTTTATCCTTGTCTATTTTGCTTGTTGTCTTCATAAATTATCTTTTTTTGGCTTAGGTTACTCATGTCCTAAATGTGGCATATAGAGTTGAAAATGCCTTCCCCAATGACTTTATATACAAGAACATTTCTATACTGGATCTCCCAGAGACTGACATCACATCGTATTTCCCAGAATGTTTTGAGTTTATTGAGCAAGCCAAGATGCAGGTAAATTAATATTCCATAATATTAGTTATCTAAGGTATGTGGCAATAATTAAAATAATTCCCGTTGGTTAAAAAGCAATAAGCCATCAATTAAGCTTTTCTTAGTGACCAAATATTGTTAACTATTATTTATGAGATTTTTAGTGCAATATGTCTTAATTCAATATAAAGCAATGGGTGACTTTTTGATCAGCAAGTCTTAACGTAGGTCCAGATCTCTCTTCTAGGAGTAAAACCTGCAGGGGAAAAAGGAAAGATCTATAAACTTCCCATTGTAGAGTTTCCAGAATTCATTCATTAGGGAAGCAATGTTTTGACATACAAGAGAAGAAGCAGGGAGTTTGGCAGCATCCCTGGAAATCAGTGGGGTTTTGTTGGCTTCCTCCAGCTGTCAGGGATACCTCAGCCTGCTACTATCCTTTAAAGGTGGAACACAATAAACTATGAATGCAACATAAAAAGTGCAGAGATTAGTAATTGTAGAGTCACCTAGCCATCTTTAAGATACAAGCATGGAATTTTAGATACTTTTCTTATATCCAAAGGGCCTGATTCAGCAAACCATCCCTATTCAGCAAATATTTACTGAACCGGGATAGACATAAGCTTGTGTTTAGCTGCTTTGCTGAATCTGTACCTAATTGCATGTCAACATTCCTGTAAAAGAACAAATATAGTAAATCAAATTAATCTCTAGATGTTTATTGGTGATTTACTATATTGTGTATAGGACATTGACTTTAACAGCGCAAAAAAAGAAAGTACCTTGTCAGTCAAACCTGGTTCTGGATTATTCCACCAGATCTAGTTTATCTTAGGATAAAGGAAGGTAACATTGCCCCATCCACTTTTGTGTCACAGAGTATTATCGTCTTCTAACATATCATTTACAAGTTACCTGAAACAGGATGTCACTTAATGACCTCTTTCAGGTTTCCAGTTACGATTTCCACTTCATTCCTAAATGAGCCTTGCTAGCTTAATGTCACTGATCCACTTCAGAAGTTGAATTTTCCAGTTACTTCTCTACAATTAGAGGTGTTCTTATAAAGCCTTGCATGGCAATACTACTATTTTTATACAGCAAGGCTAGACTGCAAAGAGATTAGATTTTGATTAGGTTGGAATGGAGGTTTTTAAACTGCAGCCCTTGCTAACAGTCTGTGCTGGATCCTCCCATTTTTAGCCACAAATCAGCACCAAGAGATAGCTAAAAATATTAGAAAGTCTTTTTTACATAAGTATCATGGTAGTTGTTCTACAGCCAGCAACACTAAGGAGATATTTAGTCACGTTGGGGAGGGGAGATGGTTCATTAGCTTTAATGAAAGGGACCATGAGGAACTCTATTAAAAGTCAGCAGACATTGAAAAAGTTAAGAATTTATGGATTAAAGAATATAAACAAACATAACATTGTTCACAAATTCACTGGAAGTTAGTAGGAAAGGATTGAGAATCCCTAATTAATAACCACTGAAGTCTGTTTTCTTTTAGGGGCAAAAAGGGATCAGATTATCAAGAGACTACAGCATCCATAGCTGGGGCAGATTTTTTTGGAGAGCTTATCTCTCAACTAGGCACTCTTGAAATGAGCAGACTTTTAAAAAGCACATTAGATAACTCATGTGATGTCCATTGTTTGTTTAACAATGTGGTAGGAGTTATATTTAAATGTTGATATTTGTATTTAATAACTAGTATGTATTAGGGATGTAAAATCCCATTTAATCAGTTAACCGGTTAAACATTATGTTTAATGAGTTAACCCAGGCCTGGGCAAAATATGGCCTGCAGGCTGGATGCGGCCTGCAGATGTTGTGGGGAGCCCCAGGCAGGCTCCCTGCTTGCCTTGTCCCACCGCATGCTGCTAAAAAATGCGGCTGCAGGGAGGTTTTTCTTTAAAAACTGTGAGTCCAGAAGGGAGGGGGGAAGCTTTAGGAGCTGCTCCCACCCCCAGCACAATCTTATTGGTTGGCTTCTAGCGAGAAACTGGCCAATGGGAGCTGCCTGTTTCAATAACAGGAAGCCAAAGCACAAGGGGCTCCAGAGCACATGGCTGCAGCCTGTGCTGGGGTGAGGCAGGCAGGGAGGCTGATTCAAGAAAGGCTGCTGGCTGGTAAGTCTCCTGGTGGAACCTACCTCTGGCACCTCAGTCCCTCCCTTGCCCCCATTCCTGTCCCCTACTCCACATAACCAAATCCTCTGTTCCCCTCCTGTACCCATATCTCCTCCCAAATCCAGCACCTGAATCCCCTGCCCCAGATCAGTCCCCTCCTGCCCTAGCTCCCAACCCAAATCCCTGCACCCCTCCTGTACCCCAATTTCCTGCCCTAGCTCACAATCCAACCCCCTGCACCTCAGTCCAGTGCCCCAGGTCACAACAGCTTCCTTCACCCATGCTCCCTCCTTTACCCCAAGCTCCCTTCTGCACCCAACCTCCATCCCAGAACCTGCACCTCCTCCATTAATATCATGGAAAAGTATTGCCCTCGACCACTTTCCAAATTCTTGGACTTCCCCCCATCAAAAATTATTGCCCACCCCTGGGTTAACTGCTTAAATCAGGGCAAGCGGGGGCTGGTCTGGCCGGGATGGAGTGTACTAGCCCACAGTGTGCTGCTTGGGCAGGGCTTGCTATGGACGGGGGCTGCTCCACCCCATGCCGGTAACAAGTAAGCATCACCCAGTAAAGGTGATGCTTACTGGTTAACTATTCATATGCCTACTATGCAAACTTCTCTTTGAAGAATGAGGAAAAGTTTATTTGCCAAGATCAGTTTTGTCCTGCATGAGCCTTGGGGAGAGTTTAGACAGGGTTCCCTTGTGAACATCTCTTTACATTGTTGCATCAAGGAGGTAGATTCTCTCCAAGAAAAAGGTAGAGAATCACAATTCAGTGCAACTGCACTTGTGTTCCTCCTCTGTAATCCAAAAAGGGCATCTGCTTTAGGCTCCCGGCCTCTTGGATGTACCCTCAGGTGGACAAGTTGCTTTCCATAAACCTAAATAAACAGTAGAAAATAATAAGAAATCTACCATTACCTATAGAATAGACAGCAACAGGGCATCTCAAATGACGGTTTCATTTTTTTTTTCTCTTGAAGGATGGAGTGGTGCTGGTTCATTGTAATGCAGGAGTTTCTCGTGCTGCCGCAATTGTAATTGGTTTTCTAATCAATTCAGAAGGACTCAATTTTGCTCGAGCATTTTCTTGGGTGAAAAATGCCAGACCTGCTATCTGTCCGAATCCTGGCTTCATGGAGCAGCTTCACAAGTATCAACAGCATAGTAAAAAGGCAAACGGAAGCATAAATGATCTCAAATGATAACAGGAGAGAAATGCAACAATCCCTGTGGTTATATTTTAACAGACGTGTTGGCATATCATACCTTAAAACAGGGCTACTCAGCCCGCGGCCCGTTTGTTTGCAGCCCACAGTGCGGTTTGGATTTATGTGGGGCTCAACATGCAGCCCTGCAGGTGGGAGCCAAAACAAAAAAGTAGTCAATATAATGGTCTTCTGCTGATACAGGCAGTCCCCGGGTTACGTACAAGATAGGGACTGTAGGTTTGTTCTTAAGTTGAATCTGTTTGTAAGTCGGAACTGGCATCCAGATTCAGCCGCTGCTGAAACTGACCGCCAGTTCTGACTTACATACAGATTCAACTTAAGAACCCCAAGTCAGCTGCTGCTGAAACTGATCAGCAGCTGATTCCAGGAAGCCCGGGGCAGAGCAACTGTGCCTCGGGCTTCCTGTAGTCAACGCTGGTCAGTTTCAGCAACGGCTGACTTGGGGACGTCTGGGGCAGAGCAGCTGGGGTGCTGCTGGGTTGCTCCAGTAGCACCGCTCC